AAAATAAGCATAATTTTCCATAAATTTACAAAAGCGGGATAAGCCTGCTGAAACCTGGCACCTTGTACCTATTACCTATAATATGTTTATGTGTACCTATAAATATAATATGACTGCGCACCCGGTAATCGGTATCTATGTACGACACGTATTAATTACCCATACATTATTATTATTACTGTCTACGTATAAARTATATAGTTTTATTTCAATCGCACGCCAGATTGAATTCAGACGACCTTGGCCCGATTGAACGAGAGATTTTTTTGTTTTCGGCATAACATAATACCGGCTATATAATAATTTGTATACGTCGCATAGGTAATATAAATATAACTATAGAACATATTATTATATATGCGTCGAGTATGTAGTGCTAGTCTATCCCAACCATTTCGGACGTCGACCGTGCCTAATTATCTAACACAAAACAAAAAAAAAAAAAACGCTGGTCGTTAAAACAATATTAACTATATGTAGGTATAGTGTTATTATAATATCATTGGAAAGTATATGATGACGTTAAGACTGTTTATACAGGCAACAGGTGTATGCGTATATTGTATTACCTACAATAATATTTTATTCATCACAATAATTATTATTATGAGGTTAAATTTTATAATAGATTGTTATTATTATTATTATTCGTATTTATAGTAGCTATAATAATATAATAATATATTACATACATTATTTAAAATACCCACATAACTATGCTGCAGCGCTTATCTGCACATGGCCGATTTTACCTCGGTCCGACGGACATAGTTATATATTATGTCAAAAACAAATTAAAAATAATAATAATAATTAAGAAGACTATAACGAATGATGAACCTATATAATTGATTAAACATTTTTTTTCCGACGTTTTATTTATTTGTTTACATTTCTACATATCAATGAATGTACAAAAAAAAATACCATTCTACTATAGCATAGATGGCAATTTAATTTGTACACATAGGTACTCTGTATATATTATTCGTGTAAAATTATATTATGTTTATGCACTCGCTGTAATATATACATAACAAGTAGGTTACTTCTACCTATATTGGCTATATTATAATATTATACACATTTTAAGAGTTTCAAGTATAGGCAATGGGTAGGTATATATAGTGTATACTTAACCTTCATATACGATGTACCTACGTGTTTGCATGTAAAAACACTCTTTTAGATGTATAYATTACATATCAATATGTTATGAGTTTAACGTCGATAACTTATTTGCGATACGAAAAAAAATGGGTATGTGGATGTCGCTCTGCAGTACAGTGTAGGTTATAAGTGTGGGTTACTGTAATAGATGGTATTAAATTTGAATTCAATGATGTAATATCATTGTATACGAAAAACGATTCTGAGTGGAGACGGTTTATCAGTCTTGGATATGTTATACTATATTAATTATATTGTTATAATTAAAAAAAAAAAATATGTCGTCCGTAACTATTTAATATTATAAAATCGTGAAATCGTACGTTTTTCTCTTTTAACCGCTTTTATTTCGAGTACCGTTTCGTAAATCGAAAAATAACTTCTCTAAAGTACCATCTCAAGAACATTACCTTTCAGAAAAGATGCTACACTTGATACTTTTGAGCAATTTTGGAGGGAGAAAAAGTGTTTACAGAATAAAAAATAAAAATAAATAGAAATAAACATCATTGTAGAACCAATACATTCCTCGTTCCGTTCAGAATCTAAAATAAATAAATAATAACAATAACAATGATAATAATAAATCCATTTTTATTTTTTAGATATTCTAAAGTAAAAAAATAATGCATTGTTAGCCGTTGGGCCTTGACTGAAAATTTCGTTTCGATGATCATTTATGTATAGAAACAAGTGCAAATCGATTTAATAAGACTCATAGATGGAAAAATTAATGTTATAATTAAATCGTTTGTAATACGCATTGTGATTGAAACTTGAAACACATAAAACACAAACTATAATAAACTATATTTATAATTATTATTATTTTTTACGAACATAATAGACACGTCATGATAATAATGTACAAAGCATTATAATGATGAGTTTTCTGAAAAATCGTTTGACTTATAGTCTGTGCATACGTATCAGCCTTTTATCGTAATAATATTGATAATAATTTAGTACAGCGATCGTTGAAATTAAAACCATGCGTTTAAAAATAAACTCTACCACGTAAGATCGTCGTTTAAAAAATACGAGTTATCAATTATTATTGACATACGTAGGTACTACAAAGTACAAATAAAATAGTGTTTTTTTATCGAATGTTATCTAACCGCCTCGAGCGCACATTACAATTATTAAGCAGCAGTGTAACTGTGGAGCAGCCGCTAATATAATATCATAATGATACGTATAATACAGTTGTCAAATTTCGAGTGCGCTTTATGCAATAAAACTGAAGAAAAAAACTGAACATAAAAATTCACTGCCAGAAACTAAAACGCACCGCCAACGTTCATTTTATGTTTGGTAATTTTCTGTGTATACATTCTCGACGGCAATTAATTATACTGTCCGACGTGTAATCAGGTGTGATCCACTTTCGTTTAATTTATTTTACCTAGAAGTAATAAATTAAAATCGAAATAATTGCATCCGCCAGAGCATTAAAAGCGCCACATAAATATAAACGCCTAATGGAAGCATATTATAGGTATTATAGGTAGGTAGTACTAGGCACTATATAATATAGTTGTGGCAGAAAAAAATAACAAATCGATTAAAAATCTTAAACATAATTTTTAAAAACGTTTCGCGATCGCGTCCGAAATGAAAAGTTTGCTAGAGTAGTTAAGGCATGTTTTAAAATATTTTAGAACACGCACAATGCACATTGAACTTCTTCTCTGAATCATGTCGTTATTATTATATCGACGAAAAACCCGTTAAACATTACATTTTAAGTACGTTCGATCCATAGTGCGCATTTTGATAAAAAAAACTATTTAAAAAATAATAGAATAAAAAATCAGTAAAAAATCTATAGATATAATTATTATCGCTCATTAAAACAACTATTTTCTTCGTCGAATCATCATATGTGCCTAAGTACGCAAGAATGGCAAACGGCAAAAAATTTAATTATACATTTGTAAAAAATACCGATATAATCCCTAATAATTCTGACAATTTTTCCAAAATTTTATCAAAAATAGGTAATCGCTTTCAATAAAATATTTGCTAAAGGATCTTTAGCATTG